AAGCCTGAAGGGTGGGGGGGGGGGGCAATGCCTCCTACAGAATGCTGTGACATTTTATAAATATCTAACATAATCCATACCACAAAGGTTCAAAGACTAGAAGAATAGAAACAGACAGTTCTCCACCTGTTGCTTTGATTTGCTGTGGAGCATTGAACAATACTAGGTAAATAAGTTGTAAGTAGCTGGAAGATAGAACTCAGACTTCAGCAATATTCATAACTAAAACAGTAACATTCCCCAGTTGCAAAACGTGGGTGCATATGCAGACAATTACAACTCATATTTGCTAGCTGGTAAATATCTATTTGGCTTAAGGATATACCTGTTCCTGTGTAGTGTAAGTTTTCAGATTTCTACATCAAGACTCTGACTAAAACATAAATCTAACCTTTTGGTTATTTGGTACTCATTATGGCCAATTTTCCCCCTCATGGATCACTGCCTTGTCGTGGCGAGGGGGCTTGCGCAGTTCAATGAAGCTGTGGGCTATGCCGTGAAGGGCCACCCAAGACGGACAGGCCACAGCAGAGAACTCAGACCAAGCGTGATCCACCTGGAGAAGGAAATGGCAACCCACTCCAGTATTTTTGCCAAGAAAACCCCATGGACAGTATCAAAAGGCTAAAAGATATGACGCCGGAAGATGAGCCCCTCAGGTCGGAAGGTGTCCAATATGCTACTGAGGAAGAGCAGAGGACAAGTACAAGTAACCCCAGAAAGAGTGAAGCGGCTGGGCCAAAGCCGAAAGGACGCTCAGTTGTGGATGTGTCTGATGGTGAAAGGAAAGTCCAATGCTGCAAAGAACAATACTACATAGGAACCTGGAATGTAAGATCTATGAATCAAGGTAAGCTTGACGTGGTCAAAAATGAGATGGCAAGACTGAACATCGATATCCTAGGAATCAGTGAACTAAAGTGGACAGGAATGGGCGAATTTAACTCAGAAGACCATTATATCTACTACTGTGGCCAGGAATCTCGTAGAAAAAATGGTGTGGCCTTTATAGTCAACAAGAGAGTGCAAAAGGCAGTACTGGGATACAATCTCAAAAATGACAGAATGATTTCTGTCCGATTCCAAGGCAAACCATTCAACATCACAGTAATCCAAGTCTATGCCCCAACCACTGATGCAGAAGAGGCTGAAGTGGACCGGTTCTATGAAGACCTACAACACCTCCTAGAACTAACACCAAAAAATGATGTCCTCATCATCATAGGGGACTGGAATGCTAAAGTAGGAAGTCAAAAGGTAACTGGAATAACAGACAAGTTTGGCCTTGGAAAGCAAAATGAAGCAGGGCAAAGGTTAACAGAGTTTTGTCAAGAGAACACACTGGTCATAGCGAACACCCTTTTCCAACAACCTAAGAGGCGACTCTACACATGGACATCACCAGATGGGCAACACCGAAATCAGATTGACTATATAATTTGCAGTCAAAGATGGAGAAGCTCTATCCAGTCAGTAAAAACAAGACCTGGAGCTGACTGTGGTTCAGATCATGAGCTACTCATTGCAAAATTCAGACTTAAACTGAAGAAAATTGGGAAAACCACGAGGCCATTCAGGTTTGACCTAGATCGCATCCCTGATGAATATACAGTAGAGGTGAAGAATAGATTCAAGGGTCTGGATTTGATAGATAGAGTGCCTGAAGAACTATGGACAGAGGTTCGTGACATCGTACAGGAGGCAGCAATCACCACCATCCCAAAGAAAAAGAAATGTAAGAAAGCAAAGTGGCTTTCTGATGAGGCTTTACAAATAGCAGAGGAAAGAAGGAAAGCGAAAGGCAAAGGCGAAAAGGAAAGATTTACCCAACTGAACGCAGATTTCCAGAGAACAGCAAGGAGAGATAAGGAGGCCTTCCTGAATGAACAGTGCAAAGTAATAGAAGAAAACAATAGAATGGGAAGGACTAGAGATCTCTTCAAGAAAGTTGGAGAAATCAAGGGAGCGTTCCATGCAAAGCTGGCCATGATAAAGGACAAAAACGGTAGGGACCTAACAGAAGCAGAAGAGATTAGGAAAAGATGGCAAGAATACACAGAAGAACTATACAAGAAAGACCTCGATGTCCTTGACAACCACGACGGTATAATCACTGACCTCGAGCCAGACATCCTGGAATGTGAAGTTAAATGGGCCTTAGAAAGCATTGCTAACAACAAAGCTAGTGGAGGTGATGGTATTCCAGCTGAGCTATTCAAAGTCTTAGAAGATGATGCTGTTAAAGTGCTGCACTCCATTTGCCAGCAAATTTGGAAAACGCAACAGTGGCCACAGGATTGGAAAAGGTCAGTATACATTCCAATCCCAAAGAAGGGCAATGCCAAGGAATGTTCAAACTATCGCACAATTGCACTCATATCACACGCTAGCAAGGTCATGCTCAAGATCCTACAAGCTAGGCTTCAACAGTACGTGGATAGAGAACTACCAGAAGTACAAGCTGGGTTTCGAAGAGGTAGAGGAACTAGAGATCAAATTGCCAACATTCGCTGGATTATGGAGAAAGCAAGAGAGTACCAGAAAAATATCTACTTCTGCTTCATTGACTATGCTAAAGCTTTTGACTGTGTGGATCACAACAAACTATGGCAGGTCCTTAAAGAGATGGGAGTACCAGACCACCTCACATGTCTCTTGAGAAACCTGTATAAGGGCCAAGAAGCGACAGTTAGAACCGGATATGGAACAACTGATTGGTTCAGCATAGGAAAAGGAGTACGACAAGGATGTATATTGTCGCCTTGCTTATTTAATATATATGCAGAGTACATCATGCGAAATGCTGGCCTGGATGAATCACAAGCGGGAATTAAGATTGCTGGGGAAAAGATCAACAACCTCAGATATGCAGATGATACCACTCTAATGGCTGAAAGTGAAAAGGATCTAAAGAGCCTCTTGCTCAGAGTAAAAGAGGAGAGCGCAAAAGTGGGCTTGAAGCTCAACATCAAAAAAACTAAGATCATGGCATCCGGCCCCATCACTCCTTGGCAAATAGAAGGGGAAGTCGTGGAAGTAGTGACAGACTTCACGTTCCTGGGATCCCAGATCACCGCAGACTGTGACTGCAGCCATGAAATTAAAAGACGCCTGCTCCTTGGGAGGAAAGCGATGGCGAACCTAAACAGCATGATAAAAAGTAGAGACATCACCCTGCCAACAAAAGTCCGCATGGTCAAAGCAATGGTATTCCCAGTAGTCATGTATGGCTGTGAGAGTTGGACTATAAGGAAGGCCGAGCGCCGAAGAATAGATTCTTTTGAACTATGGTGCTGGAGGAGACTCTTGAGAGTCCCTTGGACTGCAAGAAGAACAAATCAGTCAATCCTCAAAGAAATCAACCCTGACTGTTCCCTGGAAGGCCAGATAATGAAACTGAAGCTCAAATACTTTGGCCACCAAATGAGAAGGGAGCACTCACTGGAAAAGACCCTGATGCTGGGAAAGATTGAAGGTCAAAGAAGACGGGGACGGCAAAGGATGAGATGGTTAGACAGTGTCAGCGATGCAACGAACATGAAATTGAGCCAACTTCGGAGGACGGCGGAAGACAGGAGAGCCTGGCGGGAGATTGTCCATGGGGTCGCGAAGAGTCGGACTCGACTGTGCGACTGAACAACAACAAGTTGAAGTAGAGTTGCCAGATTCTGGCAACTCTAATTCAACAAGCAGGCTTCAAATAAGAAAACAGCGTAGCAAATAGCCTCCGACGTTTACATCACTCTGATCCGAAGACCAGAGTGACTCCTGGCGTGGGATAGGGGGAGCTTACCAGGAGTGGGAGGGAGGTCCAAGCGATGTTACCAGTGATGAGGCTATGTCACTTTCGGTGTGCACTGGAAGTGACATCGTCACTAGGGTTGCCATTCCCTGATGGTGGCAGTTTTCCTCCAAGTTCGGGGGGCCAATCCACTGCTGGCCAGCTGGCCGGTAAGGGGAGCCCTGCCCCCAAGCAGCCCCATCCTGCCCGACGTGCCCAGTGCAATGAAATCACCCAGAGGTGACGTCATGGTGCCAGGCACGTCCCATGGGGGACGCTCTAGCATTTGGGCAAAAACTCTATGGTGACCATGGCGTTTTTTGCCCAAATGCTAGAGAATCTCACCTGACATGCCCGGCACGATGATGTCACCTCCGGTTGACATCATCGCGCTGTGCACGTTGGGCGGGATGGGGGTCTTTGGGGGCAGGGCTGGACTCCCCCACCAGCAGCCAGGTAAGATCTGGCAACCCTAATCGTCACACTGCAACATCACGGCAACACTCTGGTATTTTGGGGGGGAACTCTATAATAATAATGTCTTCTACAATAGAGTTTTCACCCAAATACCAGTGTTGCCTAGACATTGCCGGTGTGATGATATCACTTTCCCATTCCGAAAGTGATGTTGCCATGTTGCAAGCACTGTTGTCTGGGCCTCCCTCTCTCTCCGGGTAAGTCCCCCCACTGGCCAGCTGGTTGACAGCAGGGAGTGAGGCCTGGGAGTGAGGGTCTCCTGTCTCCACCATTGGGAGGGGGGGGTTGCAGCACTAAGTTAGGATGTTTCTCTGGGTGTTAAGCAGCTGCTAAGAGAGACATGCCTGCTGGTCCAGAAATGGGAGGGTTGGAAGCCGTGCTTCCTCTAAGCTGTGGAGTCCAATGAGTCCAATGAGCTGCTGGCATTAAAGTTGCGAGCGCCTTGTGCCTAAAGAAGGCCCCTTGCAGCTGGACGGAGTGGTAGGATCCAGCCCTGACTCCTGATGCCTCTGGAGGAGAGCAAGTGAAAGCTTGCTCACGCAGGTCTGAGGAACAGCTGGACTGCCTGCACTTGGGATGCCAGAGGGGTAAATACCACCTGTAAATAGCAATGTTCTTTCTCAGGGTGTTTCCCTGGCCACTTGGATCCCACACATCTGGAGGTGAGCGAAGCCTTCTAGATTGGTTTGAGGGCAAGTTTCCCAGGCAGGCCTCGTCTCAGCTTCGTTATCTGAGCTTCTTAATGGCTTCTTTTCTCTTCTGGTTTACCCTGTGCCCCGCCTCCCAGAGGCAAGAAGTTGTTGACTTTGAGAAACTGGATGAGTCTGCTGCTGCCTTCCAAGGCCACGATGTTGGATTCTGCTGCCTGGGCACGACCAGAGGCAAAGCTGGAGCGGTAAGGAACTCAGCTGAATAGGGTGTGGGAAAGTGCATGATACGTAGGAGAAGCCAAGGGAAGTGGAGGGACTAGGGAGAGCCAGGAAATGAAGGGAATATGGCCATCTTAGAGGAATGGGTCAGAGTAGACATAAGGACTACTTTCTACCCCACCAGGTCTACAGGCTTTTCTGCACACTCAACTTGCTCCTGATTTTCTTGGCAGTCAGTCCACAAACACTGAAATCTATTTGGGCACAGTTGTTCCACGTGTCTGCCCTCCCTCTGCATCTGCACAGTTGTAGAGTCAGTTTATGTTTATGTGGAGCTGCGGTGGCTCAAGTGGTTAAGACACTGAACTGCAGGCTGTGGAAGGTCAGTAGTTCAGCAGTTCGAGACCCGGGTGCCACATGATGGAGTGATCTCCCGTCTCTAGTTCCAGCTCCTGCCAACCTAGCCGTTCGAAAGCAAGAAATTGCAAGTAGATAAATAGGTACCACTTCGGTGGGAAGGTAACAGCGTTCCATGCGCCTTGGTGTTTAGTCATGCCGGCCACATGACCATGGAAACGTCTTCGAACAGCGCTGGCTCTTCGGCTTTGAAACAGAGATGAGCACCGCAACCCTAGAGTCAGATTAGACAGGCTTTCGAGCAAGGGAACCTTTACCTTTACCTTTAGAGTCATTTTATCCTCTTCCACAGTGTAAGGATGAAGCCGCCCTGACCTGCTGCCTTGGATGGGAAACAACCAGTGCCGCAGTTAAGCAGGCAGGGCGGACTCCCCTTTTTTATTTATGAGGGTGGAAGTTCTCTTCCAAAGGTTCTCACCCTCAGGGTTCCCTTCTGGGGTGCACCCACATTCCATCAGTAATTTCCAGACACGGCTTCAAAACACAAAGCAAATGTATTAGTCCAAGGAGTGTTGCACAAGGCGTAAATCACACAATCAGAAACACAGAAAAATGAAATAATTGCACCTTTCTGTTTCTAAGTAAAATCTTTCTTTAAGCCTTACTGCCTTCAGATATCTCCAAGGAGCGCTCTCCAGGCATTATCCCAGCCATCCAGCAAAGCAAAGGCCCTTTCCGCACCCGTATTTTGCCTCCGTTTCTGAGTGCATCCTATTCTTCCATTCTGCATTCCCTCCCGCTTTCACTTCTGGTTTCTGTCGGGGCTTTTTCTTGTCTCTGCATTTGTTTTACAGGAACCTGCATTCAGACCGCTCCCAGCACACTGTTGCCCCGCACTTACCAAAACTCCTTAAACTGCGATTCTTTGTTCTTGTCCACTTTTTAATGGCTAACCCTCTCTAAAAGTAGAATTGTTTCTGCAGGTATTTGAGTGCTGCCCACTGCCCTCCCCCACTTCCACCTGTCTAGGTTGATCCTCCCCTCCATTCTGTTTTCTTT